TTAAATTGTGCCCAGACATTCAAAGCATTTTCTTTCCTGGTGTTCTGATTTTGCACTTCTCATAGCCTCCCACCGCGCACACATCCATATCACCTTTTGTACCATAGCAATACTGTTTACATACACACTGTCCAACAAATTCCTTTTGCCCTACCAAACTATGCACTGTTTAAACCTGCCATTTCCGCAGCGATGGTGGCTGTGCATTGCCATAAGCTAATGTGTTCTGAGGGTTAATATGTTAAGGAGACTCCAGAAATTTTTGCACTCAGCAAATGGATCTGCTGAGACAGGCAACTGAAACTGTGGAAAAAAAGTTTCAGGTGTCCTTTAAATGTCACACGGCTTCACGGGCACTGAAGAATGGACTTTAAAAGATACAGAATTACAGATATATGACAGAGTGACTGAGGTGGGAGGGCACCCCTGGAGATCACCTACTCCAAAGCGCCTGCTCAGAGCTGATCCTGTGAAGACAGGAATGACATTTGCATTCTTCCAGTCCTTGGGAACCTCTTCCCATCACCATGACCGCTCAAAGGTAATGAAGAATGGCTAGCCCCTCAGCACTTGTAGGTGCATCCCATCAGTTCCCATGGACTTGTTTAAAAGCTCCCTAACCTGATCCTCCTTCAGTGGTGGTAAGTCTGAATTGCTTCAGATTTTCCCACTTGCCTCAGGAACCTGGGATCTCTGAAGGTCAGCCTTACCTGTAAAGAACAGAGGTGAAAAAGGCATTGAGTACCGCTATCTTCTCCATGGCCTTGGGCACCAGGTCCCCCACCCCATTCAGCAGTGGACCAACATTTTTCTAGTCTTCCTTTTTCTATTAATGTATGCAGAGCAGCCCTTCTTTTTGTCCTTCACTTCTCTCACCAGATTCAACTCCCAATAGGCTCTGGCTTCCCTAACCCCATTCCTGCAGACTCAGTGTCTCTATATGTCTCCTGCATCACCTGTCTCTTCTTCCACCTCTCGTACACCTACTTTTGTGCTTGAGTTTTGCCAGGAAGGATTTGCTCATCCACGTGGGCCTCCTACCACCTTTTCTTGACTTCCTCCACAGCAAGAGGGACCATTTTTGAGCTTGGAGGAGGCGATTCTTGAAAATCATCCAGTTCTCTGGACCCCTCTTCTCTCTAGGACGATATTGCAGGGATCCTTCCAAGCATGCAATTTCTCCTGTGTCCTCCCCATGCCACATGTGTTAGGGTACAGGCATTTCAGAGAGGCATCCAGTCATGTGGGTTTTCCAGAAGAGGTGCTGGAGCTGTCCTGTAGGCACCTGCTTGTTTGTGTGGATACCCTTGGGGTGCTCCCCCTTCTGCCCTGCTTTGTTGATTGAGACCTCTCTCCTGTCCACACCATCCCACACACTTTGTTTGTGGCCCCCACTTCCTCACTTGATTGTTGGTCAGCCACTCCCTCCCCATTATTCCTAATTTAAAGCTCTCATCACAGGCTGGCCAGCCTTTGCCCCACTGCAGTGGACCCCATCTTTTCCTAACAGCCCTTGACCCTCAGAGCAGGTTTCATGGTTGTAAAAGCCAGATCCCCATTGTCAACACCAGCTGCGAAAACAGCTGTTGACTTGCAGGATCTATGTCCACCAAGTTCCTCATCATACTCAAAAGCCTTGTGTTTGGTTGGTTGTTCAATAATCTCTGCTGATGTAGAAGGAACCGTGTTTGCCTGCCATTTTGTCATATGCCAAACTGACAGCCTTGAGAATGGTGTATGGGTGTAAAATTACCCATACATATATCGCTGCTTAACATTTTTAACAAAGTCTAATTCATATCTGCATTTCTTGTTTTTAAATCTGCCTTGTAACTGATCCAGCCTTTCCTCAAACATCACAGACTGTTACTCAGAATAGTTATCTGTTCTCCACTGTACTCACATAGCACTGAGAGGTAGGCACAAAACAGTAAGTCATCTTTTCACCTCTGCAAACCTTCTCAGGCAGCTGCTGGGAGTCCTGAAATAAAACTGAGGTCAGCTGCAGAGCTGCTGGAAACAGTGTTGTCCGACAACTGTGTTTCAAACAACCCATCCAGGGCCCACGGAGCATCCCCTGGAGTCGCATCTTCTAACATGCTGGGACTAACGTAAAGCTATGCACGCCATCTGTACAACTGCTGATGCTTTCTCCGAGAGAACTATCTCCAGTTGGTTAGGTCAGCCAGCTTTGCAGCACCTTGTATATCAAAGCAATGAAACAAGAAATGAAACACGAATCTTTACTCATCTTCTTGTAGTTCTCACTGGCACTAGAGATGCCATGGCTATAGGTCCTGTCCCTTAAAACAGTCTTTCCCTCACAGCTTTGTAATGCTCATCTTTGATGCCTGATTATAACCCATGCAATGTGGTCCTAGAGAGAAGAGGGGTCCAGAGAACTGGATGATTTTCAAGAATCACCTCCTCCTAGACCTGATCACAGAATCACAGAATCACAGAATTGCAAGGGTTGGAAGGAACCTCGGGAGATCATCTAGTCCAACCCCCCTGCTAAACCAGGTTCTCCTAGAGCACGTTACACAGGACTTCATCCAGGCAGGTTTTGAATATCTCCAGAGAAGGAGACTCCACAGCCCCCCTGGGCAGCCTGTTCCAGTGCTCCGTCACCCTCAGAGTAAAGAAGTTTTTCCTCATATTCAACTGAAACCTCTTATATTCCAGTTTGTACCCATTGCCCCTTGTCCTGTCGCTGGACACCACTGCAAAGAGTCTGGCTCCGTCCTCCTGACTTCCATCCTTAAGATATTTGTATGTATTGATGAGGTGCCCTCTCAGTCTTCTCTTCTTCAGGCTGAACAAGCCCAACTCTCTCAGCCTTTCCTCATAGGGGAGATGCTCCAGTCCCTTTATCATCCTAGTTGCTCTCCTCTG